AATTGCAGACCCAGAAACATCTTGTGTCATGTGTCGTACACGTGTGTGAGTGTGTGCACGCATGTATGTGTATGTGCATGCACATGTGATGGCGGTTAGGGGAAACATTCCTTCATGTGACCACATGACCAAGGCAGCACCTGTCAAACCCAGACTCTAGGGTGGGCGTGAAAAAGCTGATCTAATGTCCAGATGAAATGCCAAAGATTCCAAACACCCACAGCACGTTTGAATAAGGGTATCATAAGTATTGTGACACAGTCCCAAATCTCAAAAGTGGCATGGGAGAGAGAACAAGGGGTGGAGGGAGGGAGCGTGTCACCCATAAACTCTACTGACCACAGAGAGAAGGATACTGACCAAGGGTGCCTGGTGACCTGCTGGGGGCGCTGTCAGTCAGAAACCCCAGAGGGAGGGAGAGAAAGAGAGTGAGAGACAGAGGGACAGAGAGAGAGAGGGAGAGGGAGAAGGAGAGGGAGAGAGAGAGGGAGAGAGGGAGAGCGAGAGAGCAAGAGAGAGCGAGAGAGAGTGAGAGAGCGAGAGAGAATGCCAATGAACAGGGCCTTGAAAAGTCTTCCACAGAGGGTGCTGGGGTGGGGACTGAACAGACCATGGAATATGTGACTCAGCCAATCCTCAAAATCCATGCAAAGTCCACTCAGATCAAACCAAAGCCTGTGGAAGCGTGTCACCCATAAACTCTAAGGAGGATGCAAGTCCCTTCTCTGAAATTTTATTTTAGGCCCCATGGTTGAACAGGATTCCTGGGAGAGTTTCACGGTTCCCAACTTTTAAGCCCACATCCTCCACCAGTATCCACTGCCCTTCATCACCGTCCCCTACTCCTGCTCCCACAACCCGAGTCAGTCTTCTTGACCATTCCTTAGATATGCAAAAGCATAAATGACAAAAAGCAGCTAGATACTGGAACTTCATCAAAGCCCAAAGCCTCTGTGCATCAAAGGGGACACTGAAAGTGGTGAAAAGGCAACGTGAGGGACAGCAGAATCTGGCCACCACTCAGTACCTACGATATCTAGAGAGTTCTGACAGGTCATGCACACAAGCACATATGCACACACTCATGCACTGAGAACTTGCACACATGCACACATACATGCATACACAGGGAACTTGCACACATGCATTCACAGGGAACTTGCAAGCATACACGCATATATGCATGCACTGAGAACTTGCACACACGCATGTACTCATGCAGAGGGGACTTGCACACGTGCGCATGAAGGCCAGCTGAGTGAGGGAAGCAGGTGTGATCTGGCACGAGATACCATGTCAAACCGAGAGTGACCAGTGTGACTGACTGTCCCTACTCATTCTTCATTACGGGTCAAGTTATTTCCTGGCTCTATTTCTCATCAGTTGGGGAGAGGGTCACTGGTTTTACTGATTTCAGAGAACCAGAGTTTAGTCCCAATTTTAGAAATCAACTGAAAAGTCAGTGAGAGGGACAAATGAGTGACCTCAGTCAGGGACGGCAGGTACTGACCACAGAGAGAAGGATACAGACCAAGGGTGCCTGGTGACCTGCTGGGGGCGCTGTCAGTCAGAAACCCAGACATAGAAGGGGGCTCCAGGAAGCCACCCAGGGCCAGGCAGATCCTGTCCCCCCTCTGGAGAGGTGGCCTGGCACTGGGGGGCACGGGAGGATTCTCACGAGAGGAATCACTGACCCCTGCAGCCCCCCAGACTCAAGGCCAGGGACTGTCCCCAAGCAATGCATGCAATCACAGCCGTGCTGGAGAAAGGCTGCTCTACCACACGATGGCGAGAACTGCAGGAAGGGGGCCCGCAACCCTGACACCACTCCACACAGCAGAACCTCAAACGGGCACAATTCCACCAAGACGCATCACAGTGGGAATGGCGACTTCACACCAGAGCCTGCTCCTGGGGCCGGAGGACTTGGGCGAAGGGGCAGGACCGAGGGGCGGGACATAATTCATAACCACATCCTGGGGTGTGTGAGCCAACGATGTCTCAGAGTCTGAAACATGCCAGGCCAGTGGCCCATATGGAGCCCGCAGGAAGGAAACGGGTCGGGAGACCAGGGCTGGACTGAGGCTGGGAAACAGCACTTGTGCCCTTCATGCCCAGATCAGACACAGAATCTGACTCCAAGTGGGCTAAAGACCAACCTCTAAGGCCACGGTGGATTATGCTGAGTCCCCTGTACCCTTCCCCCTCCTGCGCTGGCACCTCGCATCCTCCCCTCCCCCACCTCATGGGCTCACACTGAGGGAGGAAGGATGACACAACGTAACCATCAACTAGTTTAAAAAGCAGACAGAGCCAGAGGGTGTGGTCAGACTGTGTACTCAGAGCCCGGGGACAATCCCTGGCAGCTCCGTCACCTTGCCAACACCACCAGGCTCACACAGTAGCGGTCCTGGGCATTGCTCTGCTGGACCAAGTATCACCAAGAGTGGCCACGGGTCCTGAGCCAGCTGAGGAGCGACCCCTGCCCCCCAAGAAAGAGAGAACAGCAGATGTTCGAAGGCTACTGGGGGTTCATGGGACCATGCAGGGTGCTCACCCCAATCTCTGCATGTGCTGGCGAGGGGCTACTGGCGAGTGTCTGGGGTCTGTGGTTAGTGTGTGTGTGTGTGTGTGTGTGCGCGCGCGCGCGCGCACGCGCACGCGTGTGCGCACCCAGCAGGCAGCAAGAATGAGCAGAGCTGTGGGGGCAGCAGAACACAGACGGGGGCTTCCAGTCCCAAACAGCTCCAGGAGCTGCAGTTACCCCAAACTCCGGCTGCCACGGCCGCTGCTCGCCACGTCTAATTAGGACGAGGTCTGTAATAGCACAACTGCACCGGACAGCTTCCTGGTGATATTAATTGCATTTAAAGAAGAAAACATGAACTGTGCTTATGCTGACTAATTAGCATGGGCTTGCTAATTAATAACAGAAAGTCAAACTGTCTGTCTTGTCATCCACAATTAGCTAGAAATGTTTAAATTTTCCCTTTTCTTCCCTAAACAGTGAACTGACTAAGCAGGAAGCGGAAGGGGGCGGCCAAGCTGGGACGCGTGGGGTGGCTGGCCCGGAGGAGGGGGCAAGCCGGCTCTGAAGAGGATTCACTGGAGCCCCCACTTCTAGGGTCAGAGAGCTCCTGGCCCCTGTGGGAGCTGGTGACAGCGTGAGTAGGGGGGCAGCGGGAAGGGACAGTGGCTATCCTGACAGATTGGGGGTGGGGGGCAGGAGGGGTGCAGCCAGAGGGCACGTCTATCTGTAAGCTCAGGGCCTGGTCCTGCCCGGTCAGGGCTTCCTCTGGCCCAGCACCTGTGGCTTCCTACGCTCCCTGTCCAGCCCGTCCGGGGGCAGTGGACCCTCTGGCAGGGCCAGCGCAGCCTCCTCTGGGCTCTGGTGGGGGCCTCCCATGAAAGCACAGGCTCTAGCCCAGCACTCACTCCTACAGCCACGCCCACTCCTCAGGAAGGGCCCTGGATGGGTACACACACACAGACACATACAGACATTGGCACACACACAGGCACACACAGACACAAACAGACACGGGCACAATTCCACCAAGACGCATCACAGTGGGAATGGCGACTTCACACCAGAGCCTGCTCCTGGAGCCGGAGGACTTGGGCGAAGGGGCAGGACCGAGGGGCGGGACATAATTCATAACCACATCCTGGGGTGTGTGAGCCAACCATGTCTCAGAGTCTGAAACATGCCAGGCCAGTGGCCCATATGGAGCCTGCAGGAAGGGACACACGCCTGGGCACAGGGACTCAGGGACAGGTGCTGCCAAGCCTGGCGAGGCTAGGCTGCCCTGTGTCTTTCTCCCCCACCCCCCAAATCGACCCTTCCCTTGTCTGGGGGTGCAGGCAAGGCAGAGCACCCTAGGGGACCGGAAAGCCCCTTCTTCTGGCTGCCCAGGAAGGTCGCTTCTCACCTGCATGGCTCCACGGGGCCCCTTCCCACCTGGAGGAGACTGGGTGCTACTCAGCCCAGTGGATTTTTGCTCAAACGCTCCGAACTGTCCATCTGCCCTGGGTTCTGTTACACGCTGGGAGGAGCAGGCTGGAGATGTCCCTGCCCGACAGAAGGCCCAGGGCTGCCCTCACAGGCCACTGCCAGTTAGGGTCATCTTGGATGCTTGGGGCCCTCTCCTCCTCCGGCTGCTCCTGGGATGGCATGGCCTGGCCCTGCCACAGAGCACATGCACCAACCCCCAGGACCTCGGCTCAGAGCTTCAGGACCCTGGCCGGTCTCTAGCACTATAAACCCCAGGTTCCCCACCCCGTGGTCCCCGCCTTGGCCACTCCATGACCCCCCAACTCAGATCAGCAGGACAGATACCAAAGGCATTGTGCTCCGACTCCCATTCCACTCCCGCTCTCCCCCGAGCCAATGCCTCGGCCCATCGCCATCACCCTGCACCCGTCTCTCTGCTGCAGCCCGCACCCTAAGCACCTGGTCTCCAAACAGTCTCCTGACTGGTCCCCTTGCTGCAGGGTGACAGGGAGGGGACCAAGCAAGCTGTAGGGACAGCTATTCGGGACAGGGGAGAATCAAGGCCAAGCTGATTCTATTTGGAGGTCATCCCCTATCTTGGGGTGAAGTTGGACAAGTGTTCAAGGTCGGGTTTCTGTATGCCGGCAAAGGACAGGAACCTGGGCAAGTGGGGGTGTAGGTAGTTCCACCAGAACCTCCCCCCCCTCCACACACACACACACACACACCATAATGCTAGTCCTTACAGGACAGACTTGGGAAACAAAACCCCCTTCATCCCCCAGATAGCCCTCCCATACCCTGTACCACCCCTGCAACCTCGTAAGCAAGAGGCGGGGATGTGAGCTTGAGGAGCAAGCACCGGGAGAGAAGGACGTGGCCTAAGGTAGCAAGGCCCGGGCAGTGTCCTCGGCCAAGCCTACTGCCCCCGCAGAGTGTGAAGCACAGGCTGTTACCCGCACCAGGACCCAAGGCCAAAGACGTGTGGCCAGGCGCAGGCACTCACCATGTCCGCTCTCTGCTTGTGACCTCCCAGCTCCTCTAGGGCCTGTGACAGCTGAGCCTTCAAGAAAAGAAAAAGAAACAGGTCAGGAGGCCTTTCCCAGGGCCAGGGCTCCCCCAGCTGCCTGGGCAAGACCCGGCAGTGGGCAAGCAGGAGCCAAGGGGCTTGAGGAAGGCCTGGCCACGGGAGCAGTGGGACCACTGCAGCTGGGCTGGTGTGCAGGGCGCAGGAGGAGGCCATGGATGCCGGAGTGTGGGAGGCCCAGGGTGCCCCTCACCGCCTGCCAAGAGCAAGGGGTCTTCTAGTCCACTGGGACAGAGCTGGGAGGGGGCTGTGTCACCACTTCAGCCCGCACACACGACACACCAGATCTTAGCATGGGTGGGGGCGGGGGGGCGGCTCTGCCTTGAGGCCTGGAGTCCAGGCCAAGCACGTGGTCTGTCCATGTCTACTCTCGGGGAGCCGCCCAGGCCAGGGTCACTCACATGGGGAGGGGACCAACCATGCACACGGGCAGAGCTGCCCCTGCAGTGAGCCCATGCCCCGGGCCGTGTGTCCACTGGCTGGCACACGAGACCCTCTGGGCTCACCAGGAAGCTCTGGGCACTACCTGCCCAGCCTGGGCCAGCAGGCCAGGGTCCCTGGGAGAACATCAGCCCCAGGAAGCTAGCAGGGTCCCCACAGCCCTAAGGGAAGCTTCCAGAACCTCACTGGAGACGGGAGGAACCAGCAGGCAGGAGCTGTGGCCCTTCCCTGAGTCTTTGAGGCAACAATCATGAAACCCCTAACCACGAAACCTCGAACCCAAGACCACCGCAGGAAGTGAAGAGCGGGCAGGATGCCCCTAGGAGGCCAGCAAGGCCGTTGCAAAGACTCAGCCCACCTCTGGCATGGCAGGAAATGGGCAGGATCGGGGATGCCAGGCCCAAAGGCTTAAAAGGCACAGCCCAGGCACCTCGAGGGGAGGAAGGGGCTGTGGAGCCGGTAGTCTGGAGGCTGCGTGTGGTGGGTGGCAAACTTAGCTAAGGATTCCAGATGAGGGCGGCCTGAACTCAGGCGCAGATGAGAGATAGACGAGACAGAACACTGGCTCCAAGAGCCTGGGGATCGGGCACAAGCCCAGGGACCCTGGGGACTGGGTGTGAGAACAGGGACCCCAGGGACAGGCAGGGAGAACAGGGACCTCGGGGACGGGCAGGAAGAACAGGGACCCAGTTGGCAGTTGTGCAGAGACTCTGCTTCCTGCCTGCCACTTCTGACCTTGCTCTGGGACCCCAGACCCTTGTGGGTGTGTCTGTCCATATAAGCCCTGCAGCCCACGTAGCTGCCTTCCACGGCAGACAGGTGCTGGTCACAGTCGTAGTGGGACAGCCAATGTTCCTCTCTTTGGGATGTGAGCGAGCAGCAGCATGGGGTATGGGGCATGGGGCAGTCGGGAGAATAGCCACCAATAGGAAGGACATTCTCCCAGGGCCCCCCCAAAGCACCCAGCCAGATGGGGGCGAGGAGAGAGGTCATCCCTGGGGGATGCAGGGGGCGGCTCGCCGGGCTCACACCAGCTCACCCCTGTCCGGGGCTTGGCTGGCCCCAGGTGTGGGCTGACAGAGGCTGAACTGCCTGTGACAGGTAGAGGCAGCGCAGGCCCTCAGCAAGGCTATTTTTAGCTTCAAGTGAGAAGCTGCTGCTGAGATCGAGCGCTGGTGAGTGGGGAGTGCAGGCCTGGCAAGCACCGGGCGGGGACGAGGACACTCAGGAGAGACGACTTGAAGGGCCCTTGCTGGTGCTAACACCGCCCACATGCACACATACACATGCACTCTCACATACGTGCACACAACACCCCCCCACTTGTACATAAACCCCCACACACGTGTGTGCGCGCACTTCCCCCAACCCCCACATACTTACACAAGCTCGCACATGCACCTCAGCACAGCACACACGCAGAGCAAACAGGAGGCCAGGCTACTCCAAACTCCCCGAGGACCAGGCAGGTGCCCGTGTTCTGTGGGCGTTGGGTGGGGGGGAGGGCAAGTCCAGTTGAGGCGCCTCCCAGTCATGGGTGCTTGAGAATGAGGACGAAGCCTCAAGCCCCACGTCTTTGTTCCCTGTCACTGGTGCAAGCTGGGCGGGAGGGAAGGGACAGAGCTGGCTGTTGTCACAGGCCCCTCCTGGTGGTGTAAATGGCAGCACCAGGCCCGTCACTGGCCACAGGCCAATGGCCCAGGTGGGCGGGCAGGACTCTCTGGATGCCGGGGTAGCCCAGGGCCCGGGGCTGCTGGAAGGGCAGTGCTGAGGCCTCTCTCGAGTCACACCTAAGCATAAACACGTGCCCCTGAGCAGGGGAACCAGCACTTCGGGTCACCTGGAGCCTCCCACAGGCCCGGAGATGGGAGCCTCTGCCCTCAGGCTGTGGAGCCCCAACATCGACCCAGATATCCCCCATAGGGGAAAGCGAGATCGATGGAACCACGTTTCCTGAGGCAAAATCACAAACTCTGCTGTGCTACGAAGGAGGAAAAGCTCAGGGGTCAGTCTGAGAGCAAGAAGGAGGCCCCAGGGGCTGGAGCGATAGCATAGCGGGGAGGGCATTTGCCTCGCACACGACTGACCCAGGTTCGATTCCCAGAATCCCATATAGTCCCCTGAGCACCGCCAGGAGTAATTCCTGAGTGCACAAGCCAGGAGTAACCCCTATGCATCTCTGGGTGTGACCCCTCCCCCCAAAAAAAAGAAACCCTTCCATCAAAATAAAAAATTTGGGGCTGGAGTGATAGCACAGCAGGTAGGGCATTTGCCTTGCACGCGGCCAACCCAGGTTTGATTCCCAGCATCCCATATGGTCCCTTGAGCACTGCCAGGAGTAATTCCTGAGTTCATGAGCCAGGAGTAACCCCTGTGTACTGCCAGGTGTGACCCGAAAAGAAAAAAAAAAAAAAAGAAGGACGCCCTGGCCTGGTGCCCAGAGGCAGCTCTGGGCCACTAGCAAACCCAACCACACAACCTGGGGCATGGCCCAGAGAAGTAATGGCCAAGCAAAAATCACTCGGTTGCCCAAACCCTCCACGGGGGAGAATCCCGGCCGGACCCCAACCCTATGGACGCTCGCTGGACTCAGCCCTGTAGGCCCAGCCACCACCACCCCACAGGTGAGGCCAGACAAGGGACAGGCCTAAACAGATGGGCGCAAGTCCCAGGAGAGGTCCCTGAGCACTGCCAGGGGTGCTCCCCGATACAGGCATCTTTAGTGTTGGGGGACAATAGACGGGCTGGTGGAACACAAGGATGGCTCAACACACGAAATGGCAATAAAGGCGCAGTAGAAAAACTATCAATAAGAGAAAAGGTGGCCTGCCGAGGGAGAGAATATCCAATAAGGAGTCACTGTCAGTCCACATGAAGAGCCCACACATGCAACTCAACAGCAAGACCCACAAATGCTGCCATGTGAGAAGGAGTCAAGGATTGGAACAGATATTCGTCCCCTGTATGTGGGTAGGTGCCCAGCATCACTGACCATCAGGGAGATGCAAATCAAACTACAACCAGACACGCCTCGCGCTGTGGGGACGGGCAGCAGCAGGTGCTGTGGGTCAGGTATAAAGGGGGAACGCCAGGTGTGAGACAGCACAGAGGCTGCGACCAAGCTGGGTTTGATCCCCGGCACCCCATATGGTCCCCGGGGCATCCCAGGAAGGATCCCCTGAGCACCACCAGGCGAACCCCCGCCCTTCCAACTCTAAAATGGAATCTGAGAAAGGCGAGCTCCAGGCACAGAGACCAGGATGGAGGCTACCTACCCTGTGTGGGGTGGTGGGGAGAGCCACCACCAAAGGGCTTCAAAAACGGGGTCTGGACACCCGAGTCGCGCGGATAGCAGGTGACCAGTGAGTGACACAGCTGAGAGTGGTCCTGTGTGCTCGCCCCTGCGAGGGCCTGCACCACACCGCGCAACTACTCTGTCACCCTCAGTGATGGCCTCGTCTCGTCTGCCCACCTCTCGGTCACAGGAAGAACTCAGGGGACAGCCAGGACCTCGGTCAGCAGTCTGGTGAAGGGACGCGTCCATTGGACGTACACCAGCATCCCTTCCCCTTCTCTCCAGGTCGCTGGTGACCGCTGAGAGGACGATGCTGAACGCTGAACCAAACTTTCAGACTTCTCACTTGGTGGTCTGCAGTCTCTTACAGCGGGGGTCACTGTAGACTTCCTATACGGCCAGCAGCAAACGCCTCATTTGAACGAGGACAAGTGTGCGGGTCCGAGGCTGCTGCCCTGCGCAGGGTAGGGGGGAAGGAGGGCAGGGGGTGCAGAGGTGACGGGGGCAGGGAGGACACCGACTTTCCCCGAGGCAGAATCACATTTTCACCAATTCACTGCTATCTGAAATTGGGATTTTCCACAACCCTCCACGAAGCCAGCAGCGCCATAATCTGTTTTAATTAAATAAATTGGAAAAACAAATCAGGCCGCTCGGTTGCATCGAGGTGGCATGCGCTGCATATTTATAGCCCCACCGACAGGCAGATCCACGGCATATGCTGCCGACTTCTGCCTTTATTAAACGGAATGAGGAAGATCCGTGCAAAATGGTACAAGCTCTGCCGGAGCTGGCGAGTGTGACCCTCCCGTGTGCCTGGCTGAAACGTCTCTGCCAGAGTCGGAACACGCTCCTCAGGGGAAGCGACTGACAAAGCAGCTGGGGAACTGCGAGGGTTGTGCAGGAAGCGAGCGTCTGTGGGGACCCCACCCCCGTCGGTGGGAGGAGCTGCTGTCCCGGTGTAGAATAACACTGATTTGTCCTTTCCGCCTTGCTGCAGGGAGCTTAGGTTTACTGGGTTACTCCCATCACAGTGCTCGCATCCCTCTGTGTTTACTTGTAACCTCTGCTTTGTGCTCTGTTAACTTGTAAATATTGCTTTTCTCTCCTCCTTAAGTCCTTTGCATAGTTAATTCAGAGCAATGCCCTTTTTGTATGGGCACAAGAAGACAGTCAGTGCTATGCTTCTGTAAAGTGGGAGTTAATTAGCTCCAGATAATTTTACCTCTGGGGCATCCGTTCTCTCATCCTCAGCCTCAGTTGCCCTTACTTCCTAGCACCCCCAAAGCAGGGTCCCGAAAAGGGACTGGAGGGACCCGGGGCAAACTGTGAGCTATGTGCTACTCAGGCATCGAGATGGGCCTGGCCAAAGTGCCATAATGCTTAACTATAAGTTAAGAGCATGGTCATGGACAAATGCTGTAATGATCCAAAAAGCAATAATTTGATTCGGACCCTGCTAGGGTTAGGAATGATTAATCTGGCCTGAGAACCGTAGTCTATGGCGTGATGTCCCCAGGAAAGCCACCATACAAGCTCAATGTATCTCTTACTGTGTCCATACAAAATAACTAATATTAAGAAGTAGCCAAGACCCAGAGACTATAAACTAAAGCTCATGGAAGAGAGCGCCGCAGAGTCTCCTGACCCCACACCAGGCTGTCGACACCAGGGCACCTTGGAGGGGGACGGGTTGAGTTGCTTTCCTCCCCCAAGCAGAGCCCCGGCAGCCGAAAACCTCTAGAACCCAACCACCACCATGCCCAAGGCCACTCTCCACATGCTGGGACAAGCCTCACCCAAGAGAGGACGAGCCTCATCCAAGACGGGATGAATCTCACCAAAGAGCAAACCAGCAGAAAAATCTAGGTATGCAGGAACCCATGAATGAGATCTTCAAGCCTGCCTGGATGTGGACTGGGCCTCCTCCCCCCAGGTCCCCAGTTTTCCAGAAGCTTGGCAGTCACGCCCATGAACTGCTCCCAGCGCCATGTAATCTCATCAATGGCCAAGATTCAGAGACTATAAACTAAAGCTCTTGGAAGAGAACGACACAGAATTTCCTGGACATTATATTCTATCCATAACAAGCAATACAAAACAAGTCATCTAGCATTGCCTTTTCAGCAGATTTGAGTGGTGGTGAGACTGGTGTCGAAATATCAAATATAACCAAAGTAGAGAGTATGGGGGAAATTGTTTGCCACACAAGTAGGGGAAGGGTTGGAATGGCGGGGGGGGGGGGGGGCGAATACTGGGGATTTTGGTGGTGGAAAATGTGCACTGGTGAAGGGATGGGTGTTTGATGACTATATGACCGAAACTCAAACATGAAAGCTTTGTAACTGTATCTCACGGTGAATCAAAAAAAAGGGGTGGGGGGAAACAAACAATAAAAAAATAATAAAATAAAATTAGCATTCCGAATAAAAAAAGAAAAAGTAATGTGGAGTTCATGCCCAATTCAATCAGCTGAATAAATAGCAGTACTCCTACATTATAAAAAAAAAAGAAGTAGAATTAAGATGTTAATTAAATTATTGGACTAAGGAAAGGAGAAAAGCAATATTTACAGGTCAACAGAGCACAAAGAAAGAAGAAGTTACAAGTAAATACAGAGGAATGGGAGCACTGTGATGAGAGTAACCCAATAAATCTAAACTCCCTGTGGCAAGGTAGAAAGGACAACATCCCAGCACTTGCCAGGGTGGGCTACAGGGGATCAATCCTGTGTGGGCAGCAAGTCCACCAGCTGGGCAGTCAACAGGCCCTTCTCCACAGGCCAGGAGCGGGAACTGGGAGCCCAACACGTGCTACCCACCCTGTCCTCACCCCCGGGGACTCCCCACGTCTCCCACCACAGGAGGCTGTAGGTATCTGTCTCACTAGCACTTCTGGAGCTGCAGAGGGAGAGGCCTTGGGGTGCCCTGTGAGCCCAGTGGCTCAGTGTGAAGCACCCCCTGCTCTCTCCGCCCCATCAGTGCTGGTGGTTCCGATAGTGACAGATCACATGTCTGGAGACACTCAGGCCCGTTCCCAAATGAGCCCCACAAAGGTCCAGTGAGCAGCACTTGACTAAGAGCCTCTGTGGGCAGGTGAAGCAGCTCTGAGAGGGGTGGTTTCGGGGCTGCAGACACAGAGCAGCTCCTGTTCCCGCCAGCCAGGAGCAGACAGGCCCCTCCCGGCCCCTTCCCTTCCCCGGAGCCCTGGGTGGGCTGGCCATGCAGCCGTGTGGGCCCAGCGGGGCGGGGGGGGGGGGGGGGTTGGGGGGTTGAGGCGGGTCAGGAAGACTTGGTCTTAGTTCACCCCAACACCAAGGGCCTCAGTTTCCTCTTCCCTATGCTGAGGTGAGAGGCTGGCATGACCCCTCTGGCTGGGCTGTGTGAGGCCAGTATTGTGCCCCTGGCCAGGCGCAGCCCCGCAGAGACCAACAGGCCTAAGTGCAGGAGGCCCGGGGGCCTGCAGGGGGGCACAGCTGTGCGGCGGGTCCCTGCCCCAGCGGGCCCTGGCCCACACATGGGGACCAGCCAGGCAAGGCACCGAGGGACAGGGGCTGCACTTCCCACACAGGCTCCAGGATAGCTGAAGGGGGGTGGGCAGGAAGGGGGCTGGCCAGGCAAGGGCCGCGGCCCTGCAGGGCTGCCACCGCCTGAAGGCCACGAGGGACACAGCTCTCCGGGGCAAGCCCGGGACTCAGGAATCAGCCTGCAGCCTGACCGGGACTGACCTGTCTGGTACCCAGGCACCCTTAGGTGATAGCTCAGGCCAGGTGTCCAGAAATGCTGTTCCAGGAGAGAACTTTGCGGGGGATGGGGGTGCCCAATGCACAGGTCAGCTGCGGAGCGGCGGGTCTCAAGGCTGGGAGCTCCCCATGGGCTGTGCGTGGGGAGCTGTAGCCTGGCTCAGGCTGAGGAGGCCAGCAGGGCCGGGCTGGGGCAGGGCCTCCGCCTTCTCTGCCCGCCGCCTCCTACCTCAGAAGGACAGTCACGAGCCTGCGTCCTCCCAGCAGGAGGGAATAGAAAGCCGAGTGAGGTGGCACAGCTGTTTGCAGAGAGGAGGGAAGGGCAGGCACAGTCCCGAGTGTGCCCGGGCCATGTGCCCCCGCCCCCCCCCCACCCTGCATTGGATCCAGGGAGCACAAGGAGATGGGGGGGCCTCTGGACCGTGAGATGAACCTCAGGGCTGTGGGGGTGTCATGTGACCTGGTGAGTGGGCTCGGGTGACAGGCCCCTCAGCCCCTGCAGACAAACCCCAGAGCAAACGGCCTCCAAGGTGGCCTGACTGTCAGCCATAATGAACTCACTAGCGCGCATATGGTGAGCAGACAGGAGGCGCCTCAGCAGGGCACGCCGAGGACGGTGGACAGTCGGGATCTTCCCTGCAACTCTCTCTCTCCATTAGTGTCTCACGTGGAGTCCCAGGCGTGTGACAGTGTATGACGTGTGTGCACTTCACTCGGGGCCGCTGTGGTGGCCCCCCTCACGTGGGCTCGGGTCCCCTCCAGCTCCTCACGCGGGCTCAGGTCCTCTCCATCTCCTCACATGGGCCCCCCCATGTGGGCTCGGGTCCCTTCCACCTCCTCATGCGCCCCCTCCCCCGTAGGCTCAGGTCCCTTCCATCTCCTCATGTGGCCCCCACGCGGGCTCGCTCCCACTCACCTCCATCTCTGAGCTGTGCGCATGCACCTTCTGCACCATGTCCTCGGCCTCACGCATGCGCCGAGTCAGCTGGGGCGAGTACTCAGCAGCGGTGAGCTCGCTGTCGTAGGATCCCAGGATGGCACGCATTCCGTCCCGCTCCTGTGCATAGAGAGAGGCTCGGTCAGGCTGGCGGAGACGGGGAAGGGGTAGCCAGGACCTGGGGGCTTTAGGGAGCTCATGCGGGGCTGCACTGCTCCCCTCCCTCGAGCTGAGTCACAGCCTGCAGAGGGGCAGGGTGGGCGTCCTGAGCCAGCACGCAGATGGGCAGAGGGTCTGCCTCTGTGGCCAGCGCACTGGGTCCACCTGGTCTGAGAGCTGATAGACAGGTCACGTGGGCCAAGGGAGGGCGTGGGGAGAGACCTACTGGGCCAATAGCGCAGCCCAGACTCCCGCTGAGACAGCTACGGCTGCAGGTGGAGCCCCCTCGCCCCCAACGATGACCCCACAATTAACCTGGAGCCAAACTGCAGTGCTAGATTTCTAGGGGACGCACCTATAAGGCCTGGCCAGGCGCGGTGGGCCTGACCGTCTGATGTGGGGCTCAGGCTATCCAGCTGCCTACACAGAAGCAGGCCTGGGCCAACAAGGCCTCCCCCTCACCGAGTGCTGCACCCGGGAACTATTGCCCAGCTGCTCAGCATGGACATGGCCCCACAGTTCCTGGGAGCCCCGAGGCCACTTTCCATGCCCCACGCTGGCCAGCTGCAAGGAGCAGGGACTTGCCCTAGCAACAGGACTCACAATTAACTGATGACAAGAAATTCAATAAGTGAGAAATTAAAGTTACAAATCCAACTGGAGCTGGTCACAGATCCGTGGAAAATTTGTTTCCGTAGGCAGGTTTATCGAGTGTCATACTTTTATTGAAATCCTATATCTTCCCATTGACTTTTACGGTGCGGAGCTGGTCACCAGCTCTGCCGCTGTCATTGCAGCGACGCGGGAGGGGATTTCCTTTCATAAACAGGCAGCATCATCGAGTGATTGACCGATAAATCTCCCTCCGTGGTTCTGCCACTGCATCCTGGGCCAGAACAGCTGCTCAGAGGAAAATACACAGGAAGGGCGTTGTTTGGCCTCTTAAGAAGCAGCTTGGCACCAGCAGTCAAAGCGCAGGAACGGAGCGGGTTTGCTTTGATGGCTTTGTAATGACAGATCCCACGGAGCTGGAGTCGCTTCATTTACACCCGAGCAAATGCTGGGGAAGGCAGCGGAACAAACAGGCTGTCTGTGCAGGGGGCGGGGGTGCAGTCAGAGGATGCACACCCCGTCTGTGCTGGGGGGCGGAGGGATACACCTGTCTAATCAGGGGACACACACACACACACACACACACACACGCACATACATACACACGTACACACACACACACCCCATCTGTGCTGGGGGGCAGAGGGATATACCCATCTAGTCAGGGCGCACAGACTCATGCATCTGTGCTAGGGGGACAGAGGGAGACACACACCCCATCTGTGCAGGGGTTCAAGGGGAGCTGGCAAAGTTGTGGGCTGAGGGATGCAGGGCAGGGAGGAAAGGGACCCAAGCTCTGAGAGCAGGGCCATTGCAGGGACGAAGTTCTCTATACACAGGTGTGACAGCAGCGTGAAGTCCAGGTCCTAGGGCTCTGGGAGAACAGACAATTTGGGCCAGAAGGACGAGGGAAAGCAGAGAGGCCTGTCTGAGGGGCAAAGACATGGGAAGGCGTAGGGCTGAGTGAAGCGGGCATGTGATGCACTATGGCTGCACCCTGGACGGGCATCGGGAAGTGATGGCAAAGCCGCACGCTGTCACGAGACGGGGCACCCGTCACACCGAGAGCACCTCCCCAAGGAACAACAGTGAACGTCAGATGAACAACGGATGATCATCCACCAGGGAGAGGCACTTAGCCCCACTCTGAAGCACCAGAACAGCAGAGCCCACTCAGATACAGGCAGTGTGGACAGCATGGCCCACCTGGAGGCAGGCAGTGTGGACAGCATCACCCACTCAGGGTCCTGCCAACACACAAGCAGCACCCAGGACAAGATGGGGGGCCCACAGCTGCGGGCCACACGAGTTCACGTGCATAAACCATTCAGAAACAGCTCCTTTAGATCAGGAGATGCCATCAGAGTCTCAGTGAACTTCAAAGGGGGTCAGCACGCCACGCAGAGTCCACTGCCAGAGACCGTTCCTCACACTGAGAATCCTACGGCACTTGGAAGTTTATCCTTAAATAACCTGGTGCCCAAATGAAGTCACAACAGAAACGAAGGAACGTCTAAACTGAATGCTAGAAAAAATACGAGACCCACACTCTGACATCTGTCTGAATCAGCATCTCTGAACGCAAACATTAAAAAAGAAAGGGGGAAAATGATCATCTACACACGAAACTCAGAAGCACCCTGGGGTGAGCCCAGGACCGGGGCCTGGCCTGGGCTTTGTGAGCCCTGTGCTCTGCCTGCTCCCAAAAGGCTCTCAAGAAAGTTAGAACACAGCATCCAAGTGCACCCAAATAAGTAGGGAAATAATATAAAAATGAATGAAACAGAATACTTAAGGCACAGAATGGAAAATGCCAAAAGTTGGACCATTCAAACGAGTAATAAAATTCAAAATTTGTTGATGATTCAGATCAAGAAAGAATAAACATGAATAGATAATCATGTTTAGATTAGAAGCCAGTTTAAATGAAGCCAGTTTAGAAGACATACTCCACATAATAAAAATATTAACAAGGTAACAAGTTACACTGAACAGTTTTAGAATTGAGATAAAATGGTGATTCTTTTAAAAATAAGTCTACCATAAGAAAGGAAGAAGAAAACCTGGAAATCTCAAAGCCAATTGAACAAATCAACCATGCAATGTAGAAACATCCCTAATGAAAAACCCCAAGCCCAGACGTGTTCAAACCGGTGATTTCACTAAAGAAAATGATTCAATGAACAGTGGCCAGATGAGAAGAAAAAAAAACAAACAACTTCCAAACAGTTCATGAAGCCAGGAAAGCTAACACAGAGCTATATCACAAAGATAAGGAGACTGTGAGAAATAAATAAGAAGCCTAGCTCATTCTGAAAATCAGATGCAAAACGGAGTTATGAACAGCCAGAAGAAATTGCGGATTACAAAGGGGATCCACTGATGAGTTCATTCATTTCTGGGATGCAAGCTTGGCTCAATATTCAAAAATTGATTGATTTAGAATTCCACATTATCAGAATAAAGAAGAAAAATCATCTAATAAACTCAATTTGTACAGAAAAAGCATTTGATTAAAATTCAGTATATATTCATGATTAAAACAACAAAGCAAAAAGCCTTCTCAAGAGCAACAGAAGGGAACTTCTTTCTCTCTCTCTCTTTCTTTCTTTCTTTCTCTCTCTTTGTTTTTTTGGTTTTTGGGTCACACCTGGCGATACACAGGGGTTACTCCTGGCTCTGCACTCAGGAATTACTCCTAGCAGTGCTCGGGGAACCATATGGAATGCTGGGAATCAAACCCGGGTCAGCTGCATGCAAGGCAAACACCTTACCTGCTGTACTATCGCTCCAACCCCAGAAGAGAACTTCTTTAATCTGTGAAACTTTCCTGAAAGTGTTTGATTATGAGCTATTCCTGGTGCTGAAAGTCCTCCTGTGGACACTGAGCCAAAAACAAACACCATCAATGCCCAAAATGAACTTTATGAACTGCTCAGGAAGGATTAGGAGACGCTAAGCATAATAAAAGAAGACAAAGATAAAAATGAAAACAAGTACTATCAGGCAATACAATTGTAAACAGAAAGTTCAATAAGGTCTACAAATGAAAGAACCAGAGTTAGTCACGCTGCTGGATCAGAGTCATTAAGTTCAGTTATACATCTGTGAAAATTAGGAAAAAAAAAATTTTTTTTTTTAGAAAAAAAATTTTGAGGGGCAGAGTGATAGGATAGTACGCCTTGCACGTGGCCAACCCAGCACAGCACCTAATGGGGTCCTGAACCCCAACAGGAGTGATCCATGAGCGGAGAGCCCAAACAAAACAAAATGAAGCAAAAAAAAAAAAAAGGAAAAGAAGAAAATTTGAAAAAGATGACACCATATAACACCATCCAAAAAGAAGAAATCCAGTACTAAGGACTTAGAAGACTTTGGAAAACATCCTTGAGAAAAAACCAAGACCCAGACAGGAAGCTGAACCCTGCTGAGGAACCAGAGGACGTGGTGACCCAGTCACTGATGGTGGGGTTGGCAGGCTGTGCTCGGTCCACACCAGTCTCCGCAGGGAGGGAGTGCGTGAGGCAACGGGGTCCGCAAGGCAGAATGGTTTCTGATATCAGCGGTGCCTCGGAGCAATGGGAAAAGGTTATTTTAACACACATCGATGTGCTAAGAGACCGAAGCTTCATTTTGTGAAGTTTAGTGTGAAAAAGCAAAGCAATAAAGAAGACAACACAGATACCTCAGTGACTGTGGGGTAGGTGAAGCGGTCTTAAACAGGTCACAGAAATAATAACCATGAAGAAATGTTTAGATGGATAGGTCAGATCTCATTTAGTCAGAGAGAGAATAAGCGCCAGACGGGGAGAAGATATGGCAACAAAAATACCTAACTGAAGGCCTAGATACAGAAAATACCAAGAATTCATCCAGATCAAAGGAAAAGACAGATGAAAGGAAAATGGGCAGTGGATCCGAGAGGCGCCTCTAAAAGGACCGAGAGTGAGAGGCGCGGGGCCTTACCTGCTCTCTGGGAAGGCCCAGCAGCCTGACCACCCGGCACGGAGGGGTCCCTTGCTTCCCACTCGTGGCACTGGACACTCACTCCCACCGCACTGGACACTTGCACCAAGCACCTGGGAGGCAGCTGCCACCTTTACAAGTGTCAGAGACCCTGGGGTCACGCAGGCAGAGATGAGGAGCTGGTGGAGGCTGCCTCACAGCACCCCCACAGAACCCCCACAAAAGCTGGGGAACCAAGAAACTCAGGTGCCCACGGGTGATGAGAATGACTGAGCCAGACTATGACAGCAGGAACGAAGACAGTGAAGGACAGAAGCGGGCTGAAGGAAGGCCAGGGGAGAAACAGGATTTCTGGGCACACACAGGAGCCCCAGGCAAGGCTG